AGAGTTTGACAAGTAGATTACTAAAGTAGTGGAACAGACTTCTGGAACAAGTCAAAATATACTAAGTTTCTGTACTGGCTTTATAAAAACTGATCTTATCCTAGAAATGATAGATCTAAAATGTCAAGGTAAACGTATAGGAAAAATAGTAAAAAAGTGAATATTGAAAATGCAAAAAAGAGTTTACAACCTAATTCAAAAAGAAGTCTGGAACAAGAGATGTGAAAAGGTAATTGAATGGGAACAAATACAAGGAATTAGTAATAAAGACAAGATAAAAAGATCTCCTTGTTTTTCAGGCCAGAAAATTATACTTCAAAAGAAAAGAAATCTGCTATCTGAAGAAGAAAACCTTGAAGATGAAAGCCTTTGAGAAATTTTAATAAGAAGAGTAGAATATGGAATAAAATGGTTGGGTTTTAAGCTTTATCAGAATCTCGCAGAGTGGTCTGCAATAGTGACCTGTAGGCAATGAAGTTAACAGTTGAAAGAATTTTTACCTGAACTGCTAACAGAGTGATAAATTATTTCCGAAATTGCACTTAGAGTTTTAATAATTCTTAAAATAGAGATGAGTAAGTTAAGTAGAGACTTAGCTTTAGCGATATATTTTTAATGTAAAGTATATACATGTTTAATATAGCACACATACCTAACCTGATAGAGGGTTTTAAAAAAAAAAAATACTATAGCTAAACTTTTTTAAACAAATTTACTCATTGTAAGCAATAATAGTCTCTAAGTTTAACTTTGGGAACTTTATAATGGACTTTGAGTAAGGACTTTCCTAGTTTATATATCATTGCTGGCAGGTTGTCACTGCTGAAAAGTTGGCCAGAATTAAGAAGGCTAACTGGAATTAATATTAGATACTATAAATTTGATAAAATTAAAGTTATGAAATTCATTTAATTAATTTTTTGGGTTTTAGGCGAAATTAAGTTTTTTTTTGGGCAAAATTAAGTTAAATTAATTTTTTTGAGCAAAATTAAGTTGAGTCAGGCGAAAATCAATTTTTGGGCAAAATTAACTTTTTTTCTCTAAATGCACACATGCTTTTGGTCCCAAGGTAAGTGCAAGGGTTCTCGGTAGTTCAAAAGCAAAATAAAGTTTATATTTGGCTATTAAGGGTAGTCTTTTCTTTATCTCTCTGTTCTTGGTTTCCTAAAGCATGCTCTAACTTCATATTCTCAGTCTCGACTTCGGCATTTTCTTTTCTAAGTTCTATAATCTCGGCTAAGAGCTTCGAATTTGTTTCTCTTAACAAATTAATCTCATTGCGATAATATTTTTTATAGTATAAAAATCATGTGCGCGTGACAATTTGTCACGCCAATCACGAAATAATTTTATTAATACATGCGAAAATAAATAAGATCAGGACATTGTCCATGATACATGCGCAAGTTTCTATGCTACTATACATGCTTCACTTTATCCTTTAGAAAGCCTACTATAACCCTTGCGAAGGTCGGTGGGATCTTTTTATAACGCCTTCCGTTAGTGAGATTCGATATTTAATCTTGCTCGTACACTAAATACTTTTGTTATATGTAGGATGAAGTACCACAATTCCAGTAGTACTGATTATATCATGGACGTAATTGGAATCAGAAACGAACTCCCCATCAGCATGTCCTTTTTCTTGATCATATCTACATTCATTCGAAAAGAAGAAAGTTAGCAATACCTATAATCAACCTGCAAGAAGGCTTACTGCTATGTGCAAGATAGTAAAAATGACTCGCACATAGTATAATTACTATCTACACCGGTCCCATGTTCCATCCTGAAAAGAATATCGTCCGTGTAAACTGAGCTTACTCCGGAGCACTTTCATCTATTGGGTATGAAACTGAAAAAATTTAGTGAGTTCACTACACTCATTCTAGAATATATAAACTTTTTGCTGTTACAAACCTGGCTTGAACTGAGGATTGCAAACGACAATTTCATATTTGCAACATCTTCTGCCATCATATTAATATAAAAATGTACCTAATAATTTTATTTAAACTCGGATAAAAAATAGTAACATTCTAATGTTAGTGAAACGAAATTTTATTTTGTGCTGATGAAAAATGCACTGACCTATCAGAATGAACTATTATTACTTGAAGTTTTCAAGACAAGTACTGACAACCCGAAGAGGTCCTTACTACGATCTTACTCACGTTTCAATTCAATCTTACTCTGACTGTTATAAGGAAGACACGTAACCGATTTCTCCTCCAAAATCAGTAGACCTTATACAGTGAACCCAAAGAAGTTGAGAAGTCACGATTTTCAGAGTTCAGCAAGCCTCCGAAGTATCGTCATGTCTCCTACAATATTACACACGACGGATATGTGCAACTTTCAGAGTAACCGGCCTTGAAAGTTACAAAAAAAAAAAAAATCAAGCTTTTTTATATAATGTAGATCATATAAATCATGTGATCTACATCGTATTTACTTCCTCTGGACGCGTCGTGTTTCGTGCGAATCAGATGTAATAGAATCATCCAATAAAATCGACATGATTTTCATGACATAATACTGAAATAAAACGAAAAACGTGTCTCTAGATTTGATTTTTTGCTTTACGAAAAATGAAAATTTCAAAGAGGCTAATGACAGGAGTAATCGATGAAAACATCAAAAATACTTTACAATCTACTATAGAGGCGCTGCATAGCGTTTGTCCGCAAAAGGTGGATAAATCATCTATACGTAGATCGCTTTACGATATTTTAAATAAAAACCAAGCATTCCGAAAGAAATCCGCGGCTAATTTGAAAATATATGGCTGGTTAACCTTCGTAAAAGCTAAATTTAATAAATCAAGATATGACGCCGGACGACGCTTAGCTGATAATAGGAGTACTCCCCCACCAGTACAGGAAGAATTTTCTTTCTCTATCAATGAACAAGGAGCTTTTGTAGAGAAATTATATAATTTAATAGAAATTGAACTTTACATGTTCTCGTTAAAAACGAGAGCATTATCTCTGCTAAGACCGTGGAGTCCTTTGCCGCAAGACAAAATCCCAAAGTCAATAAAGATTTTGGAAATGCAGATACACTCTGCATTTTAAACTTTATCATCGACAATATAGAGATCTTTACGACTAAATCTGTATTCCACGGTACGAACAGTGAAAATGCCATCGAGATATTCAAAGAATATAAGAAGGATGTTCGCCACAAAATGGCCCACGGTATAGTGAACGAAAATGGCAGGTGGAGTGATCTTGCTCTACAAAATGTCTCACTTCTAGCCTGTAAAGTTGTCGAATGCCTAAGTATGTAGTTTATTAAATAACCTATCTCAAATGAAAACATGAACTAAATTGGTTTTTTTCCTCGTTTCGACATTAGATGGCAATTATGAATATACCTGTATATACGCAGAACGAGAGAAGTTAAACGCAGAAATCATGAAGAAGTTGATACAAAAAAGAAATGTAATGTTAACAACAGAAAATGCAAAAGAACGTATCAATTTTTAATGGAGAAATTCTACTCATAAGTGTACGAACATCAGTCAACCAACACAGATATGAGTGGAACTTAAAAATTTTAATGTTTCCTAGTGAGTGACATTTGACTTATGTCTCTGCCTTCTCCTTTAGAGACCTATCTTTACTTGTAGGGAGTCACTTCTTTTAAGCAAGTACCAGATTGGAATAGTCTCAAGCTAGGACATTCTTTTTAGGGGTCCTGGAGATTGCCAGGGCAGGAGGTCTATGGGGTGTTTATGGAGGTTTAGACCAGAAACCTTTCTTCTTGCAATCTTTCTGATAGTACGACCTTAGATCTCAATTTCTGATCGATGGAAGGCCAAAAGTTCCATCTTTATGCAGCCTAACCTGATTAAAGTTAGTTCCAGATAATTGGATATAATTTTCACAAGATAACTGGTAAACCTGATCAGAAGAGAATTTGATTTTTAATCCTTAAGTGATATTGAACTACAGACCTTGTGATTGTGACCTAAAAGCATTACCACTGTGCTATAGACCCATAGGTTTCATTTTTTAAAAAAATTATTTTTTATTGACTTATTATTATTATTATTGAAACAGTAACCCAGTCTTGTTTTATTAAACTTTTAATTGATATAAGAAATAATTACTAATAAAACATTTTTAGAATTTTTAAAATTTTATATTACTACTATTATTTTAATATTATAGACTAGTTACTTTTTAAAGACTTCTTCAGTTAAGGAGGTATTGCCTGTTTCTCAGCTGCTTTCAATATTTCTATATCATAATATCTTGACTACTTTATTTATTAGATAACTTGTTATTGAGAAAAGTTTACTTGAATTAATCTAAATATATATTAAAAAATTTTTATTAATTCTTTTAAATTTCTTTTAAAAAATATATATACTTAGAAAAAATATTTATTCCAAAAAAGAAATTTGACTTCATATTTATATCTGTCACAATAAATATTTTAATTTTGTCACAAAAATTATTTTGAATTTTTATTTATTTGATTAAATTAAAAAATATATATTTGATAATTAAAGATATATAATTATAACTCTAAAAACAATTGTAGTATCTTATAATCATATAAACTCTTTCCAGAGAAACTAATAATGTAATTGAAGAAATATCTTATATCCATTTATACATATAGTAGTAACCTATAATTAATATAAGTCCCTAAAGGGGGAGGCAGGAACAAAAGTCAAATGTCCCTCACTAGGAAATATTAAAATTTTTAAATTAATAACTATAAAAAAACTATCCACAATTGT